TTTGAGGATTCATGTTGTAAGACTATAAGGAAATGATAGAGGAAACCTGGAAGATACGGCACCACTAGCCAAGGGGCCAGATCAGTATCATAGCGCAGTGATTCTTGATAATGTGTAGCTGGGTGGTAGGTATTCGACCTAGGGTGAAGAAATCAGGCAAGACAATCACTGAGGGGCTGAATGTTATAAATATCCGTTGGTTGTAGCTAGATTTCTCTTTCTTCTTTATACAGTTTATTAAATCGACATAATCATCACCAACTCGGGTTTCTCGTCACAATTTAGGAACTTGACTAGGTTTCTAGAGACTAGTCAATGATGTTTCTCCTATCGCTGAGATATAGTCATGGTTGATACAACAAGTACAAATGATGAATCGTGTCTATACATGGCGTTATGAAATAGTCATGATCGTTTGAACAATATCAACTCATGAATGAATCATGTCTCTACACGCCAGAAATTGAAGCAGTCAGGCGGAGAAAGAAGCATTAAGTCCAAAGTTGAGCTGACTTAGTCTCATAATCTGTTAAAGCAAACTGTTACGACACGCTAATTATGGCAAGCAAGAATTCAAGGGTTAAAAGGTAATAAAGCTATACGGCGAAGCTCTGCCTACAAGTTCATTCGTTCATTTTTCTAGATTAACGTCTTATGCGGTATCTATATACAGAACCATGAAGACAGTGAGCCGCTTTGGTAAGGTAAAAAGCTTTCAACAAAAAAAACCCGATGTCCTGCCACTCTGAAGCGACCCGGCTTATTGCTGAGGACGTTCCTTTCAACCATAAATTTTTAAACTTTCCTCGAAATTCATTAACTCCCCCTTCGATTAGACTAAATCTATGAAAAATTAAATAAAAGAGGCACCTCCTCGCTCGGCGTTGGTCTTCGAAGTGTTCGAAGAGTTGGACCCGATGGTGGTGCTGTTGCAGCGGGGGTTGTTGGTGCCACTAGGGCTTGGACTAAATACGTGGTCGACCCGGCCCTATTTTGAATCCTTCAGCCTTCTTACTGGTGACCAAAGTGAATCTCTGATCATCAGTTGGTCCGACTGTTCGTGTTGGCGCCACCGTAGGTTTTTCATTCCATATTTCCGCCGTTCTCGATAGCAGCTCCATCCGAGCTTTTTCCACACTTCCCCTGTAGACCTGGTAGGTCCGACACGCTGCTTTTTGCTATGAACGGTGTTCTTTGCCGCAGTTCGCATAAGAACCCCTCTTATTCGGACAGTCCCGAGTTTGATGAGCACCAGCGCACTCACCGTACCTAGCTGCCTTTCCACACGACGCCTGCGTGTGTCCCCACTGGCTGCAGTTATAACACTGCTTTGGCTAGGCCCGTGGTGACTACACCTGCGCGGTGAAGAGCGTGGCGTTAATTACAAGGCCCTGTCGAATTACCTCCGTTTGCATTGCCTCCGATGGGAGGCTGACCACAATTGAACCACGATTGCGACCGTTTTTCTTCGGTCGCTGATGTTCCTTTCCGTCGTGGAGTCATCGTATTCTACTTATCACTAGGCGTGGAATTCGTGCCTTCGTCACCGTCTCAATCCCCCTGATGATGGCGTAGTTATTAGCATCTCTGTCACCTTCAATTCTTGTCTGTAGTGGGACTCCAGAAATCTCGGCTGGAAAGTCTTGCCGCAAGATTTTAAGTTCTGCTGGTTGTCGCATGTTGAGCGCCGGGTCTCTCTGGGATGTCGACTGGAAAAACACCTCGGTGTCGTTGCTTCGCATCTGCCGAATTGCAAATGCGCCTTGAATATGTTGCTGTGCCTTTGAGAGCAGCTCTTGTGGCTGCAAGTTTTGTGCGCCATCGATTCTTATCGGCACCGCTGTTTTCGTCATTTGCGGAGCCACGACCGATGCGTAACTCCTTGGTGACGGCGCGCCCAAAACCACTACTGGAGCAGCTTTTCGAGCGGGTTCCTCGAGGCTTTTCTTTACAACTTCCTCTAGCGCCATCATACTCTCCTCGATAGGAGACTTTCTCTGGGAATTTCCGTCCAGGCCTTTTTGTGTGCGTTGAAGGCCTTCACAGCCTCGTTCACATCCTCCACTGAGGGTAGGTCCTCGTCATCCATCTCTCCCATCACGATTAGTCTAACCTTTTTAAGTATTTTCCCCAGTATATCAAGGTTTCTATCCTTTGGAGGTGTCCGCGCTCCGCTGCCGTTTTTGTTTCAGGCCGTTGTCGCATTTTTCGACGCGTCGAAGCCGCTGGATTTATCCACACCAGCACTCACGCTCGCCATGTTGGAGCACGGAAAGCGAAAAGATGGAAAGAGGATAATGAAGATGAATAAATTATAATCACTATGTCAAATAGATAATACGGGCAGCGTGGAAGGCTGCGCAGCTTTCTGGCAAAAATGATGCTTTTCTATCCGCCTACAAGTTACATATTAATAAGATTAAAATTGTGCGAGTAATGATAAAGATGTCGTCAGTTCTTCCATAGCGCCAGACTGCCGTGGGTATCCTGATCCAACTCCATAACTTTTGACTACCTCCTGAGCCATTTGACACAAATTGAACTTCATCTCCGTTCTCAGGCAATTCTTACCCCTAAGTTCCTTCTATACTCAAACACACTGCGAGAAAAGTGGATGTGTTTTGCCGAATTCGAACCAGCGATCTTATGTCTCGAGTGGGATATGTGTCCAAGCAATCAAGGCCTTACTTGGCAGACCGGCCAAGATGATGTCCCACCCCACCATTCAACCATGGCAGTGTTTATAGTGTCGCCTGCACTCCACAAGTTCACCTCTGCAGGTGCTCTGAGGCTTCTTTATTAATTCATTCTATTGTCCTGTCTGAGTCTATGACTATGTAGGACATGCAGTTCCTCTCTGCCTACAGGCCAAGGATACCTATACCAGAAGTATATCCCCTCCTATGCCTTCCATACAGCTCCCCTCAAACAGTACCACCCCTCACAAGTCCTCATTCGATCATACACTTAGAGGAGCCCTCTAAGGCATCTTTAGAACTAGGTTTAGTTAGAACTTGAAGTTAGAAGTGAACCAGGGTCCGCCAGGACTGAAGATGCTAATTTATTTATGTGGAACTGAGATTATTCTCACCAGGATAAATAGTTGAAGAGTAATGATCAATGATGCAACCGGACATTCTTTTCTGGGACGACGCTCCTCACAATTCGTGTATTTCCCAACACATGTGATCTTTATGCAAATAGTATCTCAGACTAACAATGGTTATTGCTTGACGCATATCTATCTGGGCGTACACAAAGACCTTGAGAGGCGTACGAATTCAATACACCGTTTGCATCACATGAGCTCAGTAGTGTCTTCCTTAAAAAGAACTTCATATACACTTGAGGATTACTAATCGGGTTGTGAAGACACAATATCCAGATAGTTTCCTCTACGACCCCCAAGCTCTGACCATAGAGTCTGAGCCGCAAAATCCAGTCCACCGTTAATCAGAAAGCCCTCTAAAATCCTTACTTACTGCGCCTCCAAATATCCCTGTCAGTACATTGAGGCTAGGCAAATCTGTTGTATGAGAAATACAATACCCCAATAGTTTTCTAGCATTTCATGAAAACTAATTGTTCATGAGCGCGAATAATGGATGTGATGAAAAGGGGCTTGGATTACTGTGATTATTTTGTATACACTTCTCGGCAGCACCTGGTTGGACGGTGTTAGGGAAGGGTATTTTATGGCTTAGGGTCTAGTCCTGATGCCGGTAATAGGGAGTCATGTTCCCAGTGTCTATTTGAGTTATGCAGGCGTCCCTACACCCACGAATGACACTTATTTTTTTAAGAGAGTGTCAGAACGAAGAGCGTAAGGAATCTCTGGGCAAGTGCTAGAGTGAAGGCTTTCGTAGAGAGCTAACGTAAAAAACGAACTGAAAATTGTGTAAAGGTTCCATTGGTTGCTATACTGGGAAGACCTAAAGGTTGAATACAGGTGTTGAATGAAAAAGAATAATGACTATAACAAGGATTGTAGAATGCATGACCCACCTGACAGGCATTCTTCTTGTTAATATAAACAAATCAGATCACTGGTTAGGAATCAACATTACTTACACTGTGCATTGTTCGCGTAGCTCCGAGCACGATGAGACCATAGCGGTAGTTAAATCTGGAAGCAATGTGTGGCATAGACTGCTGACCTTACAACGCTTACATTTAAAGGGTCAAATTCTATGCCATAAAGCTGCATATTCTCATGCCTGGATGCTGACAAATCTAAAGCATTAGATTAGATCACATCACAGCTCTCCTCTCCTTGGGCATCTGATTGCTGCTTGATACGAGGTAGGGTAGACCTCATGTCACAGTAATCACTCACGTGATGTGACGGAATCATACTTCCACCTTTTTAGATACTTGCTAAGTATTTTCAAGTTACGGGAACAGGAGCATGTGTAAAGTACGCAATCTTCGGATTAAAGATAGAAATTAATTACGTTTCCTTAGAAATCCTGGTGATTTAGCTTGACAGCATGGCGAGGATTAAATAGCTTTCTCGATCATAAGATCAATGCGCTGTGGGATCAGGTGCTAGGCCAACATAGCTTAGCTCATCTGACACTAACGATAATGTCGATGAGAGGTAAGGCTGGCTACACTATACGCTTATTCAACCTTCGAGAAAAGCCTATGCGAATACTATGAGTAAGTTTGCGGGTTATGCGAGTTGTTAGCCAACCAGTAACATTTCAATCAGGGTGAAATTTTAAAATCGAGAGGTTGCTGGTAGCTATCGAAGACGGTATCATAGTCCTGCAGCTCGACTTCACGTGACAAATAATCGTAACAGGTCAGTCAAAATTTACATCATATTCAACTTGATCCTTGTGGACAAGTTTGTCGTCAAAACTCTGTGCATCTACAACACGGCGTATACTGAGACCTTCCACAAGTCGTCGCGCATTCCATTCACACCTGTACCTCTTAACACAGCCAACTCAAAGACTCAAGTCTAGGACGACTGCATTGCGATTGCCTCTAGTATGCGCACTCGAGCTACCGGTCTTAGCCCTGGCGGATTTCGGGTACTGACCTCACCCAAGCGTGTCAAGAAACAGTCATCTTCCATACAGAAGCCCCGATCTCAGTCCAAGACTTCTGATAAACCAAATGGGGAAAGCCCACAAGTAGGAGAGCAGAAGCAATCCGTGCTTGAACGTGAAAATTCCCACGCCGACGGCAGTCCGCCAGTCCCCAAAACCAACGGAACCACTCTCATTAACAAAAACTTCCCCGAGCTTCAATCTTTGAAACAAACGCGTATCGTATACTCACCTGTCAAAAATGCCACCAATGAAGCTAAACACACTAATGCCGAGAGTCGATCGGGAAGTACGACAAAAAGTAAAACAAATCATCTAAAGCCAAAATTTTCGCAACGTAGCTCTAAGGAATCTACAACTGGAGAAAAATTCAATGCTCAGATCATCTTAAATAGCGGGACCAAGATGACCAGCCTCCATCAAGTAGAATCTGTGCTTGGGAAGCGATATCGCAACGACTCATTATCCGCCTATACATCCTCATCAAACTTCAATGAGAACCCAAACCCAAAGCGTATTCGTATCCACAATAAACTATCGAGAAAAAGCGAACCCGGTCAATTAGAGAAATCAAACATAACTCCTAATAACAGCTCAAGCACTACCCAGGATCGTGCCACAACAAGAGTCCAGAGGAGATACCCAATGAACTCTAGTCACGAGCATCATCTTAGCAACCGAAAAACAGTTTACATTGATCCTAAGGAGTCATTACAAGAGTTTAAGGTAAAATCTTTTACTACCTCGCGACGCATGTCCTGCGAGACTCACCATAAGCAAGCTTCTTTCAGTTTTTTCCCGGAAGATTCAAGCGATGTGGAATCGCATCTAAAGAAGGGTATGCAATCTATTATGTCACGGATGAACAAGTATCATTATAAACCTTTGCCAAAAAATATGAATAACGATACAAGTCAAGATAATTCTGTCAGTAGAAATAAGGCAATCTCATCTAACAATAAAAATCAACAAGATGACTTATACCAATTAACCAAAAGCCAAGAATCACCCATAGAACCAGATAAAACTAAACAATTAAACCCCTCAGAAGATGAGCAAGCGGAGGAAACGAGCAAGGCATTAGTTTTGCATAAAACTATAGATAATAATCAAAGCATCATAGTACCAAATAATAATGGAATGATCACGGGCACGGGTGTGACGGAAAACTTAAGAGTAAGCAAGCAGTCTATTAAACGTGGAAGTCGTAGCTAATTTCATCAGGAAAAACGAATGGAAGTTGAAATGCTGTTCCGTTCAGCTTCGCCGAATACATCATACAAGAGTACGACAAAGCCTGCTCCTATTCCTTATCAAGCTCAAGACACTAGTATGCGAGTGCGGTCTAATTCTTTCTCTGGAGCACATGAAAAAACACTTCCAATCGTTCCATCATTCACTTCTCAAGTCATTCCAACTCCATGCATTTACTTCACTGAGACAGCAACTCAAAAAAGCCTTAGACTTACAAATTCTGCTATCATAGATATTCTACGCGCCGTTGCTGAATGGGCACTGCGTAACCCTTCGGATCTTCCAACTAGCGATGAGATAAAAGCACTGCTTTCATCGACTATTGAATCACCAACTTCAAAAGTCCTTCCTCTATCGAAGGTGTCGGTGGCGACCCCAATTGTCAACTCATCCTTCCAACTGAAGAGAGTCAAACCACTTAAGAATACTCCAACAACTGTCAAGAGACGAGCTGTAGAAAACCACAAAGCTGCTGGAACCCCATCTAACAACATATCACTTGCAACAGACTTCAAATGTGAGTCAACCATGGATAAAAAGCATGTCAAGTTCTCTTCTCAACCAGAAAACCAAAGAATCATAACAAACCTAACCACCTCCGAAGCTCATATTGCAGAGAACTCAACATCACCATCTCGACTTGAAACGCCACATACCCTCAATCAAAAAGCCTCAAACCCACCACTTAATAGTGGATGGAGGATTATGAGTACTTTAAAAAATATAGTCGCATCACCATTAAAATCGCTTGGGTTCGGTTTCGCTCAAGACCAGGAATCCGCACAAAGTGTAGCCAAGGAGATAAGTTTTGACTTCATACCACCCGTAACTCCAACGCCACGCGAAAAGCGCCAGACGAAAATTGATAGAGCTGTAACCGAACGCAGATCTAGACGTAGAAAAAACACTCAATCTTCCACAAATCGGAAACATAACGAACCGCTAACAGATAGACCCCTTCGTCATATAAATGCAAGCACTCAATCTTCTGCTCGACGTGTTGTCACCGAAAAGCGGAGACTCGACTTAAGCCGGGAGCAGGCCATCAGGAAATCTTTTGCTCGCGAAAGAGAGTCACAAAATGATACAGATCATCCTCACAAAGAGTCAACAAAGCCCGTCGACACTTCAGCATATTTCCCCAAAGACTTAGCCGCTAATAAGAACTCGTCCACTGATCTCACTCTTACCGCTAGTGATACCATGGAGGAGTGGCCTCCCAATTTAAACCCAAACAGAGTAGCAACAGATATTTCCCTGGCAGCTGATAACTTACCTCGCGGTCCTAATGGCGAAGACGTTGCGACAATGTTATGTAAAGGCTGGTTGATTAGCCCGCATCGCGATAGCTATGTGAGACACGTCAAAGAGAAAAAAGCAGTGTCATTTCTATCTTCACGGAAAACAATTTTTGGTGTGACCACCCAACCTAACCCTCCAGAAGATCGATCCCACTCAACAGACGAAGTCAAAACATCAAGAATAATGGATAATTCACTAATTCCAGTGGATTCAACGGGAAGCCAGCCAGGACGTAGTTACGGGTTTAATTACGATGACGAAAGTAGCAGCGATGATGGGGACCTTGGATATGAAGCTGAAGAAGAAAACTCTGTCACATTAAAATCTAGCTCAATACAGATGACAGACAAACATTTTGGATCGTCTCAATATGATAAAAGCTCAACAAGAAACGAGGCAAACATCAATCTTTCAAGCAGTGCAAGTAATAAATTTTATTCAAACGATGCCCGAAAACCGCCGCCATTTATTGGTGTGCCCTACACTCCCCGTATACCTTCATCTTTACGAAACGTCGAAGCTCTTTCGCCTAATGTATCGAGTCTATCGACCCCATCAACTACTAACTCTCCATTAGCGATGGTCAAGGGCGATGATTCTACCTTATCTAATAATATTGGTTGTGATTGGTCATCGATGTATGAGGTTGATCCTCTCATGGCACACTTTGATCTACAAACAATAAAATCGGTGGAGGATCTTCCCAAAGACAGTTTTCCGCCCATACAGCTTCCGCCACTGAATAATCAAGCAGAACAGGCCTACCTTGAATCATCTTAAAGAGAGATAATACAGGTAGTCAAAAATTTTTATATACTAGGTTGTAGTCAAATCCAAAGGTACATTTTAAACGAAGTAAAGCTCGGTAAGGCTAAAACATTACGGCCATCAGCCTATTGTAAATTTAAGTAATTAGATGCCGGCTCATTGAGTCCTGAAGAGAGTCACAGGTAAACTTGCTCGAATTCCACTTCCAATCTTCTAATCCTTCCTTCACGGCTATCTCGATTTCGATCCGTGTCTGCCATTACGTACTGTAATGGAAAATAATACGACTAAAGAATCAGAAAAGGATAAGAAAATTTTGTGTAAAGTGTCACGAAGAGTTGGCTCGATGTTAGATGACAAGCAACGCATCAGGTATCGACTGGGCTCATTATTGATCGACTCCGGATCAACTAGGGCCACTTCTAATGTATTGTTGTACGATGCAATTCCTTATCAATGCGGGAATAATTTTAACCACTCGGGTCAAAATAGTATCACACTCATAGGCTTTAGCTGAAACTGCGGATAATTAGAACAAAATCAATTGAAAGGGCTTTCAAGAGTTCAAACCAACATGAGGTTTACAGACGCGGCAAAACGATTATTGCTTGGCTCCGTACCTCTTTATGCCGTACTATTTGGGGGCCTAATACCTGATTTTGGTTAATGGCAAGGAATTAACTCAGACTACGGGTCGTGATTCTAAATCTAGGGGGAGCACTTCATGGTGAAATTATAAAAGTTGATTAATCGAATCCAAGGGAACCCCAATCGCGCCGATGCTCTAAAGCAAGACGAGAAATTAGAGCTGCGATTGTGGATCGGCTCATTTCTATCCGAGCTATGTGAACCAAATTTCAATTGTAGGAATAAAAGTGTATGGCCAAGTACTCAAAATAGACATGAGCTAATCTACAAGACTCAGTTTGAGGGTTAACAAATTGGCAAGACTGAGGCGCTTCAGGCTTTATTTTCTTTTTTTTCCAAAAATGTAAACTATAACCATACTAACAAAGACGTTGTCATTATCGTGAGATCTAATGATTCATTTCCTACAGATTTCTCCGCAAACATGGCCCAACTTCTCTTGACAACCACCTAGGAAAATGGATTCAAATTATATTACCAGTATTTTTCTCCATCCCAAGTCATACAAGAAGTCTTCGGGTGAGTGACTATCCTGGATTTACATGTTGGGTGAATCTAGTGTTAGTTATTTCGGCATCGTCAGATTACAGTGCCGCCGGGAGGTAGGTTTAGATTGACATGCAAGCCAAATTTTTTCATCTAAAATGGAATCAGGTCGGCTTTACCCATTGTCTAGTCAGCAGACAAGGATCTATTTTTGATTAATTCAATGTTTTTGGTTTTCAGCCCAGATTTTAACAACTCCAGTATCAGCGTATCAAAATCAATGGCCAGCCTTCAGCCATCGAAAGGAACTTTGATGAGCTTTAGAGACGTCGTGTACTCTTCAGATAGAACAATTATTTGTATCCATAGCAGGCTTCTCATGTGATAGCTTAGGCAAAATCAAAATTAGTCGATCAGTGGCAGGCTGCACTGTCCCAGTTTAATATTAGCGAACTTAACTTCCCTACAAACCTTGCCCCTGCAATAGACTAATTATCGCTCCTTGTCCATGTGCCGAAACGGCTACAGGGGGGTATATTCAGGAACGAGCCCCTGAAGCAATTTTAGAATCAAGGAGACATCGAAATAGCCCGAAATGATAGACTGATCCTGGCGCAGGAAAAGATGGATTAAGCGACTGTAGCTTGACCCGTAGCAAATATCAAATTTCTCTGGGAATTAAAGAGCAGTTTGTCACTCTATAATTATTTTCTCGATCTACTTTCAATTCTCAGCTCCACCGTGCGCCCAGTTTCTGAGGCCTTTCACAACGTGAGGTGATCCTACAATTTGCCGAGAGAACTCTGGAGAAAAAAGGATTTAACTTACGCTTGATCTGAACGTCTGGTGTGTGACGGGCTAGGACTTTCGGTCAATGCACGAAAGCAATGCCACAACTAAATGTTTACATTTCTATGAGGAAATTACGAGCAGGAAGCTATGGCTCTTAATAACTACAATGCCTGTTCCAGATACCCTTGCCCTTTACACGTGATCTGATAATACTCCCGTATAGTGAGAAGATTTACAAACTCGCTTGAGCTTTCAAGATAAGGATGGGCCCTATAGCCTTAAACAGCCCAGCCAGAACCCAGCCGGGCCTAGCCCGTAACATGGTGGCTCATGCTGATAAGAGCTAGCAAAGTGGAGCCCTTCTTTTTTATTTTGCATCAGATTTTAATTGCGTATGCAGCTATCTAGCTATCATACAATATCAGAGAAAAAGTGCATAATAGGTGATTCAATTTGGAAGTAGAGTACTCATGTCTCGGATTTCATTTGCAAGTACCTCTGCGAAGATATGGCGGCTTTTTCTTCACCCCAAGTCAACCCTCATCCGTGAATACCCACCCAGGGGAACATCTCAAATACTCTGAGTTATCAAGACATGCCTCCGTCATCCATCAACTTTTCTCCGCGCGAAATATGATCTGAGATGTCTCCTTCCCAAGTGGAGTAGGTGCCCAGACTACTCAAACTATACCAGAGAACATCACCAGGAGGCGGACCACGGCACCTTCCATCGTTGGCTTGTGTTTTTATTTTTATATCATTGACTGTATGCAGCCTAACTAGCTATGACACTATATACATACATATCCTTCTGGACCCACACATCATCTTATACCACCATTTTATGTATATTACAATAGGAAGAAAATTCTTGACAAGTAAGCCATATTTAATTAGTTGGTATATTTCTATCTTCCTCAACCTTTCCCCCAGATAGGCAGCCAGTTGTTGAAAGATATTTCAGAAGCGAAGTTTTCCCCACATTTGTGATGAATATAATTGGAAGTGTAAATGGTGATAGATTTTGAAATTCTTTTCTCCTCTATTTATTGAAGAATGAACAGTAAAGTATTAAATGATCAATTGTTTGATCGCTTTTTGTGCAGTTGTTGCAGATATTAGTATTGATTTTCCCAATCTTATTCATATATGCTAGGTGGCTCCCTATACCTGTTCTAGCTTGAATATATGCTGACTGGGTTTTTCGAGAAAGTTTGATCATGTTGAATGGGGCTTGTGTTTATAGTGTAAGCTGCACTCTCACAAGCGAGGTCTTAGCGCCGACGAAGCCCAATTCGCAAAACTCATACCAGAATTCAGAAATTCACCCCCTTGGAGGTAATATTCTTCCTTTGCATCATCTTGTCAATCTGTCCTGATCTCTCTCACATCCACCCCAAAGAACTTCCCCTAAGTATGTGCGTGACGATCTTGTCCTCCTACAGGTATTCGTATTGTCGTGGGAGTTAATACAGTGACCAGCTGTTAAGGGCGAGCAGAATTACGGACACCGCACGTAAACAGTACCACAAAGAGTTGATATTTTTCTAAATAGATTTACTGTGGGAGGTCCTTTGCATTAAATATGCCTGCTGCCGCCACCAGTGATCCAGATTCCCGACACGTATTCTTTTGCTACTGAGTGATCTGTTTCCCAGCCTCAGCTTAATTAACCGATTGATTCGAGGTTTGGACAAACTCTACTAAACATCACGTGGTTAGTGTCCTTGAACGAGGCTGGGCCTGAAAGATAGCCCAGCCTAACCGAACGGGGCTCAGCCCGTAACAATCAGTCCCAGCATGCTCTTCAGAGTCCTATTCCCCCTCTCGCTCCACATCTCAGGCGCCTGTTCTTCCTCAAGTTGTTTGTCCCATTAGAGCTACAGTCCCCCATAAGCCAAGACCCAGGCTTTGTATTTTTCGACTTGATTTCCCCCTTGCGGGTATAAATAGCGTCGTAAATATATAGTGAGAGATGGCTGGAAATTAATGGGGCAAGCTCCTGTATGCAATTAGAGCAACTTCTTTATTGGTCGTCGAGGCGAGATGATGCGTGGTTATAGAAAGGTTGACGACTCATATCTGTATGGTGAGAGAGGCATTGTCGAGAAGTCTTTAAACGGAGATATGTTCGAGGTTGTTTTCAACTTCGAATTGGATGCGTTTCTTCTTGGCTATCCCAGACATGCAGAGCATACTGAGCGATTTCACTAGCACCACTGGAAGGTGTAGAATTCGTATTGCCGGCGTGATTATTGTTTACTTTGGAAAACAGACTGTTCAACTTCTACTTCTTTATTGTAGTAAGTTTAAGACTGAAAGAAAGGTAGCTTTTAAAGGCATATTGCCATTGAGATTAGAAATATTGTTTAATACAAAAATTGGAAAAGAAGCAACTCTCCACTTCCTTCAAAGCAGTGGATGCATTCATGCATCCAAAGCTGACTGAAAGGGAGGAGACTAGAAGATAAGCAGAGGAAATGGGATTAAATATTTGTACTTAGATATAAAATAATCAGATGTGTCATAGCTAGATAGCTGAATACACTATGAATTAAAAAAAAAAATATTGTTTACTTCGGAGCTTAATGGACAAGGCGTTTGGAGATCTAATATACCCTGTATTAGTAGTTCCATATTAGCGTGTAGCGAGAGCCAAGTCGTAGCATTAGGAGAGAGTGCTGAGAAGGGTTCGCAATACACGTTCAACATTTTTAACCCAATACTTTATCAAATCTACTTCCAGTACTCCAATATCAGCTGTCTAAAGGAAAAGTATTCTAATACACTCGCTCACTCTCGCTATGTGGAGGGCAAGACTGAACACCTGTACGCGGTGTCCTCTACGAACCTGGGAGTGAAATATTCTCCCAGAGCAAAGTTCAGTCAAATTTCGCAATATCAAAGAAGTTGGCCTACGAGGCAAAAATCCAAATTACTCATCCACGTCGTTATTTCGCTCCCAACGAGTTTGACTCCTATCTTCGTCTCATCTAGTCTACAAGTACGACCAAGTACATCCTCATTCCAATGACCACACCACTCTTCGACCTTCTCTGGTCTCAGCTGGTCACCAAATACACGCC